ATAACATTGCGTAGATCAACAAAGGCCAATGATTTCATCATCATGCTTATGTAATGCAGTCTGCATCAAAAAGCAAATGAACTTAGTTTTGAGAGCTCTGAGTTGCTGAATACATGATGTCAGGATGGTGTATGTATATATAAGATAGGTAGATAGATAGATAGATAGATAGATAGATAGATAGATAGATAGATAGATAGATAGATAGATAGATAGGTAGATAGATAGGTAGATAGATAGGTAGGTAGGTAAGTAGAAAGAAAGAAAGAATAGATATAGATGTCAGAATTTGGTCACATAACCACATCTGTTGTTGTGGTCATCTAAACTACTTGGCCAAAGCCAAGCAGTTCTCATTTCCAGAACTATGAGATTGATTTAAAATGGTGTTCAAACTTTTAATTTCATGATCCCTTATATTTCTTAACATTTTAGAGCCCTAGAGAGCTTCTATTTGTTTTGTATACATTTATATCTCTTGATAGTTACTATTTAAAATTGAAAGTCTCATTAAAAATATTAACTTTAAAATAATTTAAAAATTTGACATGCTGTCAAATATATTTTATAAAAATAGCTATTTAATGATTAAATGAAAAGCAAATATTAATAAAATGAATATGAAATAGTTATTTAATAATTACATGAAAAAATGGCATTACTCTAGCTTTTTTAATTTTGTATAAGATGTGAATGCTCTGGTGTTTTCTGTTTTGTTTTTGTTTGTGCTAGGGTTTGAACTCAGGGCCTCAAGACTTGGTAGCAAGACACTTTACTATTTAGGCCATTCCCTTTTTATCTTAGCTGTTGAATAGGATTAAAATGTTCAAAATGTTCAAAATGCATAATCATAGTTTAATCATCAGCCCAACTGAAATTGAGGAACATCTGACAAAGTAATTGATAAAAAATACAAGGAAACAATGAAAAATAAATAAACTAAAGATAAATGAATAAATGACTAACCACACTTAATCACTTCAGGCACCTGGATGGGTTGAAGCCAACAGAGGCTGAACACAGATGTTTCCTTCCCAAGCAACCTCTTGACTGAGGGTGAAAAATAAAAAAATCACGCTAAAGATCATAAGGAATCACAAGAGCCTGAGCATGAAGGAAAATCCTATTTTAAAATTTGTACTTTGTAGCTATAAAGAAAGACAGCCTAAAATGAAAGTAGTCAAGAAGAAATACTAAGTAGAAATCAGTTATATAGTATATCAATGTCTCACCAACTTAATATACATTATAAAAACTTCATTTAAACTTGGCATTTGGTTTTGGTCTGATTTTTATTTCACTGAACTTCTGTTTACTTTTAAGGAACTTAATTGGATTATTTGTAATGTCAGTTCTCTTATCTAATTCCTCCATTAATAGCTCCAATTTCTTATTTAAAAATTTTTTGTGTGAAATTTTTGAATTATAGTTGACATATAATGTGTATATTTTGCAGGTATACTAACATGGCTTGATACATATGTACAATGTGTAATATTTAAATCAGGGTTGCTAATAAATGTATCTATTACCTCAAATGTTTATCTTGTCTCTGATTTGTCATGATTTATCTTATTTCAGTATATCTTTCATTTTAAAAGCCATTTGGATTTTGTAGCCCAATATTACTCCAACTTCCTGTATCCAAATACCTCTTGTATTCTAAAATGTAGTTGTTTTGTTTGCATTTAACTCATTTTTGAAAATACTACAAATAATTGAATTAATATTTTAAAGGTACCCTTAAGATATTCAGAAATACTGCAGACAAAATTTGGAGCTCAATTTAGTGGTTGTTTCAGATTAGAAATATTTTTCTATAAACTTAGTCCAAAAGTGGATTTCAAAGATATATGCCTTCAAGTTATCTCAAATGACAAATTGATAGGAGCAAGGAGGAAAAGGCTAATAATCCAAAATTATAGATGCAGGATCAAAATTATTACACAAAAATCATAGAAGTGCTTGTGGTCTTTCTTTTTATATTTGAACAATCTCTTATTTCCTTACAGGCCCTGTTCTTACTAAAGCATAGTATTGTTTATATAGCAAATATTAGAAATTTGTTTCTTCAGAAAAATTACACAACTCCAATTCCTTATCTGCCTTTGCAAATAAATGAGGATGATTTTTATTTTGTTTGTGCTTTTAAAAAGGGAATACAGCCAGGTGCTGGTCGCTCCCACTTACAATCCTAGCTACTCAGGATGCTGAGACCTGAAGATCATGGTTCAGAGCCAGCAGTCAAGAAAGTCTGTGAGACCCTTATCTAATAAACTACTCAAAAAATCAACAAGTAGTTCTGTGGCTCAATGGTAGAGCATTTGTATTGAGTAGTAAGAAGCTCAGGGACAGAGCCCAGGCCCAGAGTTCAAGCCCCAGGACTGGCATCAAAAAACAAACAAAAAAAAAGATCATACAGTTCATGCATATAATCCTAGCTGCTCAGAAGGTGAGATTAGGAGAATCGAAGTTTGAGACCAGGCCACTGAAAAAGTTAATGAGACTGCTCCTCAGTCAGACAATATCAATTTCTGAATTTGCTGATGAATGAGTTAAGAAAAAACTTTTTTCAGAGTTTATGCAATTTTACAGTGGCAATTAAATAATTGTGGGTGTCTATAGTAATCAGAGTTAAGGGAGAAATAAAATACGTGAAACTTGAAATGTGTAACTGTGGTCTTAGCTTTAAGAACATTAAGAATTAATAGAACTTTCCTTCTTTTAAAATGGGGTTGAGGGAATATTTCCACTGGAAATGGTCAAGACTAACGCCATCAAGTCCTCAAATTGGAATCCAGGGCATCTGTGAGTAGGTGATGGACTAAAGGAGTCATGTGTGGACAGGATGGGCAGTGTGGAGGATTTGCATATCACTTGTGTACTTTTCAAGATTCATAAAAATATATTTCCAAAAAGTGATGTTAAAAATATTAGGCCTTGGCTGAGGGACTAATTGTAGGGTGTAAAAAAAAAGAGAGGTGTAAAAAAAGAGATAGTATCCAAATAGAACAAAGGTAGGTTAAATATTTAATTGGTCTTCCTTAATGGTTCCTTGATTGAAGAACATCTCATCTAAAGATTTAGGAAGAGGTGATCCTGTGAACTGAGTACTTTCTTTACTTGGGGATGACAAGAGTGAAAGCCAAACTGCATAGCTATTTTGAGTATCTGCTTGTTTCAGGGTCCTTGCCCTTAGGGAGTTTGCATTGGAACTGGAGACATTTTACAAACTAGTTAATGATACTTAGTTTTCTCCATAGGACTTTTGAGTCCAGATAAGCCTTTCCAGCCTGTATTCTATTTACACAATCTAGCCAATTCCCTCTTACCTAGGCCTAGTCTAGGTCCTGACATACTCCTAAACAGTGAAAGCAGTGATGAGAAAATAGAGGGAGTGGAAAAGAATGGCAAGTATATGATCGTGAGCAACTTATGAACAGAAGAGGAGGTGGGATTGTTGCAAGCTTTTAAGCTTGATGAATTGATACACTATGATATATCTCCTGAGTGTGTTATAAAATCTAAATAATTATTAAGACTATAGAACTGATACCAATTCATTTGTGGGTTTTTTGTTTTGGTTTTTGGTAGGTTTTGCTGTTTGTTTATTTGTTCATTTGTTTTTCCAGTACATACTAGGCAAGCTGCCCTGTACCACTCCAGCTGTAATAGCCAGGTTTTACACTGACAGTTGCTTTTGATATAAGCAGTTGAACCAATATGAAGACCAATTCTCAAACCCTGTAGGATGCCATATGTGGTAGTACACATTTATAATTCTAGCATTTACAAGCAGCAGGGATCTTAAATTCAAGGTCAGCGGTAATAGCTATGTGAAAAAATACAAGGCTAATCTAATTGGTATAGTAAGACCTTGTCTCCAAAAGAATGGATCAGGAAAATATTGTGTGTGTGTGTGTGTGTGTGTCTACACCATGGGATTTTACTCTATATGTACACCATGGAATTTTACTCATTCATTAAAAAGAATGATATTGTACTATTTGTAAAGAAATGGAAAGACTTTTGTTAAGTAAGTCAGGCCCAGAGAGACAAAGGATGCGTGTTCCCCCTTAGATGTAGAGGCTAGATTTAGCTTATAAACTTACAAGTAAATACATTGGGTGATATACAAATACATACACATTTGTTAACAAAATATAGTAGCTTCAAGGGAGATGTTAAATAGTATAATTGCCTAGAGAGCCAAAATCAGAGTTAATCAAAATAACACACCAAAGAACAGATGATCAAAATGGGTAAGGTGGAGTCTAGGGGAACTTGGTAGACAAATGAAGAGAGGAAGAATACTGCCAAGAATCCAATGTGTGTCCTACAAAACTAAGAAGAGTAAGGGAAGGGGTGGGTTGTAATGGTGGAGCTAGGTGAGAATGTTGAAAGAGGTGACTTGATCACAATATATTGTATTCATAAACTGCTTTCTTAAATGGCAACTGCTTTGTACAACTATTTAAAGATAATAGAAAGCAAAAAAGAGAAAAGAAAAAAAATAAGGGCTGGAAAGAAATCTTTGTGGTAAAACACTTGCCTAGCAGTGTTCAAGGCCCCTTCCATAAGTAAATAAATGACAAAACAAAGCAAACAAAACTTCGAACCCCAATAACAAAATACCCTGCAGACCACACCTGTAGCCCACTTTAGGAAATGCAGGTGGTGCTGTTAAGTACAGGTGGCTCATACCTATAAGCCTAGTTACTCAGGAGACTGTAATCTGGGAATCTCAGTTTAAAGCCAATCCAGGCAGATGTCTGTGATTCCCTCTTCAGAATAATCAATCAAAAGCCAGTGTGGAGATATGTCTTCAAGTGGTAGAGTCCAAATCAAGCAATCAATTCACCCACTCTGCAAGTAAGCTTTACATCCCAAAATTCAATATAATCACAATTTCAACATGTTAAAAATATGTTGAGAGGCAATTAGGCATTTGAATTTCAAATGGTATCTAATATCCTTATGTTTTGATTCTTTTCTTTCAGGTCTCTTTTATTCAAAACCTTGTATTTTGTGTAGAAAGAGTTTACCGTGTGCCTGACTTTGGTGTCTGGGAAAGAGGAAGCAAATACAATAATGGCAGCACAGAGCTACATTCCAGGTAATATTTTGATTTCTGAAAGTGTTTTTTGTTGTTGTTGATGAAGTGTGTGGAATTTGAATATGAATAAAAAATCAAGCATGTTTCTGTGTTAATTTGTAACACAGTTTTTCTTCTTATTATGCAAATGGAAGTCACTTAAAATTAAGGCTTAAGTATTGTACTCAGAACCATAAATGGATGCTAGAAGGGGCAAGTCCTTAGGTGTCAGTTTATGCTTTTCACCTTTCACCATAATCCATAGCTTGGCCTCTCTGCTCAGCAAATTAATTTCTCTTTCTTTTCTCTGCAGTTGTATACACACTGCATATCAGATTTCCTTCAGTGTATTGATTTCTATGTTTTATTTCTGATTTTGATTCTTACTACAGATTCTCATATTCTCCAATAAAACATAACATTCAGTGTCTCTGTAAGACTTGTGATCTACATGCTAACCCATAATGTAGTGCTTGGATAAGCAATTATAGCTGGTGGCTGAGGGTAGTAATTTATTACCATTTTGTATTCTAATTTTATGGCTAGGATGTCATTTTTTAAAGTATAGCGAGGATTTATTTAACAAATAGAATAAAAGTTAGAAAGGTGGACCCTTTTGTATTCTAATTTTATGGCAAAGAGGTCATTTTTTTCTTGCTTAAGTTTATTAGGAAGGATCTATTTAGCAAATAGAAGTTAGAAAAAATAGGCAAAAAAAGAGGACTTCCCACTTGACTTGCAGGAGATGAGAACAGAAAAACCTCAGAATGGTGATCCTATTCCTGGCATATTTATGCCTCTCAGCTGAGGAAAATCCTACTTGAATCATTAGGCACATCACCTAGGAACCCCTAATCATTTGTTAAGTTCAGGCACTGAGACAAGTCTTCTACCCAAAATCATGGATACAAAGGGTTGAGGATGAGTGTCATCATTAATCAAAACAAAGTGAGAAAGGGTCTAGGGTAGGTCTGTTATTACCCCAAAACACAGGGAAAATTTCCTTTCATCAGTCATGCTATTATATTTTCTTGTCTCCTTGCCCATTCAAGGAGAATTCAATTTCACATCTAAAAGTGGGAAAAGTAATAAAGGTGAGGTCTGCTATTTTTAAAGAAAAGTTTAGCTTTAGTTCCCAGATCACTCTTTTATGGGGTCCGAGAATCAACGGGCAATGAGACCACACAGTTCATGATTGGAAATGTACAAAATTTTATTGCTCAAGAAAGTACTGTACATAAGATGACATTAGCCAGGTGCTAGTGACTGTAATCCTAGCTACTCAGGAGGCTGAGATCTGAGGATCATGGTTCAAAGCCAGTCCAGGCAAGAAAGTCTGTGAACCACTTATCTGTAATAAACCACCAGAAAACTGGAAGTGGCACTGTAACTCAGGTGGTAGAACGCTAGCCTTGAGCTGAAGAGCTCAGGAACAGAGCTCTGGCCCAGAGTTCAAGCCCCACTACCGACCAAAAAAAAAAAAATGGCGTTAAGTGAAATGAACCCCAAGATAGGGAGACAAGTTGTTTGGTTTCTTTTTTTTTTCTTTCTTGCTATTGTTTTTAATGTATTTAAAATGTACTGTGTGATTTTTTTTTTTGTTTCTCTTGTATGTTCTCCGACCCCCCCCACCCCACCCCCACTCCGTTTTCCCATTTTCACTGTATTTGATGTCAGTGCCCTGCATCTTGTATATACATTTTTCTAATTTGGGAAGGGAAAGGGAAATAACAAAATGCTGAAATAAGGGTACAGGTTGACCCATTGTAACAATTAGATGTACAAAACACTCTTGAGAATGAACTTTACAACTTGGGTGGGAAGGGAGGAGGAAGAGAGGTGGGAAAGGAAGGGAAGGGATGGTAGGGGGAGGTAACAATGCTAGATAGGAAATGTACTCATTACTTTATTCATGTATCTGTGATCCCTCTGTACACTATTTTCAATAAAAAACATATAAAAAAGAAAAAAATTAACTTGATACAACTCAAAGATAAGTATGTAGGAGTTAAAACTGAAGAATCCTGAAAATAATAGCTGAAAATAGTCATCGATATGACACCTATAAAGTAAAAAATCAAAGCAGTGATACAATTTTGTATGTGAATCTCAAATATTTTCTCAGATAAATGGGCAGTAGTACATATAGTTGAGTCTTATGTTATATGGTTAGTTTTCTAAGAAACTGCTAAACTGTTTTCTCAACTACCTATATCAATTTGCATTAATACCAGCAATGTATGAGGAATAAATGTTGTCTCTGTCCTTAGCAGCATTACACAGTAATGTGTAAATTTTAGTCAATCTAGCTGGTCTATAGTGAAATTCATTGTAATTTTAATCTGTTTCCTACTGAATAATAATGTTAAGCATTGTTTTATGTGTTATATATGATCTGTATATCTTCTCTGATAATCTTTCTGTATTCTGCCCATATTCTAATTAATTTTATTACTGATTTTTAAAAGTTCTCTATATATTCTACCTACTAGTTTTTTGGCATTTATGTATTTTGTAAATATTTTCTCCCATCTATATTTGTCTTTTCCTCTTTTTAATGGGGATTTTTGAGAGCAAAAGTCAAGTTCTGATGGAGTCTTAACATTTCAAGTTGTTCTTTCATATATTATACTTAGGATACTCTGTTTACTAACTATTGGCCTAGCCTTTGGTCCTATAGAGCTTCTTTTTATTTGTCAGAAAGTTTTATAGCTTTACATTTTATATTTACATTATTATCCCTTTTGAGTTAATTTTACATGAGTGTGACACCTCAAGTTGAAAGTCAGTGTATTTTTTCATGTTAATTGCTTAATTGTTTTGTCCATATATATTCAATTCTATAACAGTGTTTATTTAAAAAGAACTATATCTTAGGAAACAACAGCAGATGCTGATGGAGATGTGGCCAAAGGGGAACACTGCTACACTGTTGGTGGGAATGCAAAGTTGTCCAACCACTCTGGAAAACAATATGAAGGTTCCTGAAAAGATTAAACATTGAACTCCCCTATGATCCAGAAACCCCACTCCTGGGCATTTATACAAACGACCACAAACAAGGTCATGATAACGCTACCACCACAGCCATGTTCATTGCAGAATTATTTACCATAGCTAAGATATGGAACCAACCCAGATATCTCTCGTAAATGAATGGTTCAAGAAGATGTGTTAATGTCAGTGCTGGTGCCTCATACCTGTAAGCCTAGATATTCAGGAGGCTGAGATCTGTGGATCACAGTTCAAACCCAGCCCAGGCAGGAAGTCTGTGAGACTCTTATCTTCAAAATTAACCACCAGAAAACCAGAAGTGTTGCTGTGGCTCAAGTGGTAGAGCAATTACCTTGAGCTGAAGAGCTCAGGAACAGTGCCTAGGCCTAGAGTTTAAACCACTCTACTAACCACAAAAAAAAAACAAAAAACAAGAACACACACACACACACACACACACACACACACACACACACACAAATGGAGTTCTATGCTTCCATCAGAAAGAATGGCATTTCCCCATTCATCAGGAAATGGAAAGACTTTGAAAAGTGAAGTAAACAAGACCCCAAAATAGGTATCATGATGTCTCTCATTTGTAAGAACTAGAATATGTCTACAATATTCTTTTTTTAATAAGTTTTTTTATTGTGAAAATACCATATAGAGGTATTACAATTACAAGAGCAAGGCAATGAGTACATTTCTTATCAAGCATTGTTGCCTCCTCCTTTGTTTTTCTTCTACCATCCCTGCCCTCCCATCTCCACAACTACATTCCTCCCCACGCCCCCCCCTTCACCCGCCCCTCCGCCAAAGTTGTAAAGTTCATTTTTCGACATAGCATCTTGTACATCTCATTGTTGCAATGGGTCCACCTGTATCCCTATTTAAACAATTTGTTCTTTCCCTTCCCCTCGCCAAATTATACCAACATCAAATACAGTGAAAACAGGGGTTATGCCATGGGTGAGGGACATACAAAGCAAAAAACAATCACCTTATAAATATGTTAGAAGCAATAGCAAGAAAGACAAAAACCACGTGTGTCCTTATCTTGGAGTTCATTTCGCCTAACATCAGCTTATCTGACCTTTTCTGCTTGTCTCAGAACTATACTAGTTATTGCAAATAAGGGAAACCATGGGACCTGTTTCTTTGGGCCTGGATTACTTCACTTAATATAATTTTTTCCAAGTTTTTCCATTTCCTAACAAATGGGGCAATGTCATTCTTTCTGATGGAGGCACAGAATTCCATTGTGTGTATATACCACATTTTCTTGATCCATTCATCTACTGAGGGGCGGGCATCTGGGTTGGTTCCATATCTTAGCTATGGTAAATAATGCTGCAATAAACATAGTTGTGCTGTTAGCTATACTCTGGTCTTGTTTGTGAGATACCACCTTACCCCAGTTAGAATGGCTATAATCAAGAAGTCTAATAACAACAGATGCTGGAGGGGATGTGGACAGAAGGGACCCCTACTGCATTGTTGGTGGAAGTGTAAACTTATCCAACCACTGTGGAAAGTATTATGGAGGTTCCTCAAAAGACTCCACATAGAGCTCCTCTATGACCCAGCAATCCCACTTTTGGACATTTACCCAAATGATCACAAGCACGACCTTACTGTCTACAATATTCTTAACAGGGAATCCCAATAACCCAATTACTTTGTACATAGGACTCCAATATAAGGAAATAAAGAGAAACAAGTGGGAAAAAAACTACAGAGGACATAGTAATACTATGTCTTGTAGTTTTTGGTACATGTGTTTTGTATGTAAGATTGTTTGATATGTGGAAGGGAAAGGGAATCACAGAAACAGCAGGACACTGGCTGGATTCATGTAACATTGATACTCATTGACACTATGTGGGATAAGAACCTTACAACTTGGGGAAGAGGGAAATAGGGAAGAGTAAGTAGGAGATAATGAAGGATGGGGTAACAATGATTAAAAACAAATGTACTCATTACCTTACTTATGTAACTGTAACCCCCCTGCTCATCACCTTTTC